CTCTTCCAAATTCAATTTTGGCCTGCGGTAATGTAATCAGGATTTCAGCTCAAAAATTCTTTTTTTCTATGAGATGGAAAGTGTTGTTTTAAATTCTGCCTTATTCCATGAGATCTAGAAGCACTTCTGCAATCTTCTCTCTCTCCATTTTCCTTAGCGCGCTTTTTTTTACTTCTTTAAAAAGGGAATGAAAGCCGTCCTTAGAAGTTCTCGCTCGATCGAAAGGATATAACACATATGAAACCTTAGTTTCTTCGCTGACTTTCTGAGGTATAACCTTCGCCACGACATTAGTGGCTTAGCTCTTCGCGCTTCCCGAAAGCTTTTTTTATAGAGAGAGTAAGGGGGTCTCCATTTTAATGAGAAAAGTTCCTCCCACTCTAGCTTTGCTTGCGTTCTTCACCGGCGCTCGCCGGATGCATCACTCATCCCGCTCCTAAGGCTAAGGTAAGGAGTCTTCTGTGTGTTATAATCTTTACGGGGATGAATCGCATATGTTGGTTGAGAATTTCTCGGGAATTCATTGATAGTTACTTTGCCAGGTTCTAGGGGGGCTCCTTTTCTTTTTTGTCGATCGAGCCGCTCCCCCTCATTCCACTCGTCCAGACCTCTTCACGAACTTGTACAATCGATGCCACAAAGATAGCCAACTCTATTATCAAAGAAATAAGGAAACGGGCGACGATTTGGCACCAGATATCCGGAGGTGTGAAAAGAGCAGCTGTGAGAAGCGGAAAAACCATCAAAAAACGACGATTGTTCGTGGAGGTTTCCACAGAAAGACCCCTCGGTTCTGGCAAACGGATCACAATTACAGGTACCTGGGAGCATACCGATGGAATGAACAAAATACGAATAGTTAACATAATATAGTCATAGATCTTAGGTTGTAACTTGATCATGAGCGAATTTGTTGATGTTGCACCCACGAAGTATGGAAAGTGCCAAACATTGGGAACTACCCGGGGAGGAGTTAGGAACAGGAACAAGGAGAAGCGAAAACCACTTAAATGGAGGAATCGATTGTATTTCGTCCTTTGTTCCCCATAGCAACTGGGAATCAAAAAGCACCAAATTTGATGACTTATTAAAGGAAAGACGAAATAAGAGCATGCTATTGAAGACGTTGCAACATATGTCGGGAAGGCTTCCGTTGATTGTGTACAAACAAAATACGAGTCCAAAGGCAGGGTAAGAAAGGGTTTAGCTAATGGAGATATTAACTCCTCCGGGAACCAGTAACGCGTAAACCATGTCAAACCAAGACCGATCAATATCCGAACGGAACGGATTCGAACTTCTCCTAGAATAGTTTCCGGTGCGAAATGAATAGGATATATATGAGTAATTCAAAGGAGAAATATAAAGATTTTATTGATAGGATTCGATTCATTGCTCAAGGAGTACTAAAAAAGGTGCTAACGGCAGCGGACTACTTTTGGGGTAAATAATCCACAATAAGGGGTTTGAGGAGACTTGGATCTCCTCTTATTCTCTCCGCCCATTCGCGGAGACTATCCGTGTCAGTCTCCCCAGAGAGCTCCAGCTGCGCCATTAGATTGTGGGCGGCTTCAGAATTGAATTCCCTCTGTTCCGGAAACTGAGTGGACAGCGGACCCCGCCCCCTTTCGGATTCTGCACGAATCTGTTCTTGGATTAAGACATGAAGTTCCCTTCTGAGTGCCGCAACCTCCTCTTGGTTAGGAACGGGATGGGCAACTTCAGCGGGTGCTGGCGCTTGCGGAAGCGCCTCTTGAGCCGCCTCCGGGGAAGCGACTGGATTAGCAGGAGGAAAAGGTATAGCCGCCTGCTCCAGCGGGCCCTCTCTTGATGTGTCTGTGCCATAAGACGACTCCTCAAGGACCCGTAATCCGAATGAATCTTCCTCCCATGAGGAGGAGCTTGGTGTGCCAGAAGGTCCGGCATCCGCACCATTCCTCTCTGGCCCTTGGTTGACGCTCGGTTCCGAACTGGAACTCCTACAAGCCAATCAGGCAGTCTAGCTCCACTTTACTACGATATATCTTGCTCTTGTTTTGTTCGATCACAAACAGTCAAACCAGCTACCGAAGAAGAGATACTCAATCCGTTACCATGACTGATAGGATGATCAAGCAAGGCAGTCCATAGACTGTTCCGCAAAGCAGTAAACTCTGTACTCTAGGGTACCGAAAAGAGAACTCCTCGAATCACAACCCTATGAACTGAACGATGTTACCGCAACGGGCTAGTTCCTGCGAATGCAAAGCCTTACTACTTGAAGAGGAAAACCTTACCAAAACCAAGAACCAACGGAAATCAGTATGCAAGGCAGGCTCAGGCAAGCAAGCCAAGGTTGGATTATTCGACCGTACCCAGGTTCCTTTGCTCTCAAGCCTTGCTTGAAGGTGAAGTTTCAGTCTAGAGGCTAGGAGCGAGGCTCTTTCCCTACAAATATGCGGATTCTTCTTATGCTATTGCTATGGTGGTATACGCCATGGGCTGGGAACAACGGTAAACGTAAGGCCTTGTTTACTTTTCGAAAGTAGGCTAGGCTTGCTGCGTAAGAGAAAGTGAAACTCACTACTCGACCAAATCCGAGTTTTTTTAATCAACCGACTAAGCGGACTAGGAAGGGCCAGCTTTAGACCATCCTCCGATGTAAGCTAATCACTCGATTTTGAAAGCTATTGAGATGGAAGGACCTGAACTGGCTTAGATGTCCGAACTTTGATGTCTTAAGCATTAGTTGACTTAAGTTCATCTTTCTTGGAAATCGAAGCCAAACGTACATCGACTTTTCTAGTCTTGACTCAGACTAAATACACCTTGGATCTGCTTACTCGCACTCATATGCAAGACTCCAAGCCATGTCCCACACCCCTTGCGTCTGGCTCAAAGCTCTCTGCATACGAGGCCTCTCTCTGATGCAACAGAATATCGTAGCATTGTTGGCGCCCTTCAGTACCTCACTCTCACCAGATCTGACATCTGCTATGCTGTCAATCAAGTTTGTCAGTTCATGCACGCTCTCACCACCGTACATCTCCAGGCTGTAAAACGCATCTTACGGTATCAGAAGGGTTCTCTTGGCCTAACTATCACTCCGGGACTGTTAACCACCTTCTTTGCATTCTCCGATGCCGACTGGGCTGGCTGTCCCGATAGCAGACGGTCCACTACTGGCTTCTGCGTATTTATCGGAAAAAACCTACTGACTTGGGTTTCCAAAAAGAAACCGACTCTTTCTAGGTCTAGTGCCAAAGCAGAGTACAAGGCACTCGCCCTTACTACCTCTGAACTTTTATTGCTTTCTTACTCCTTATTCTTTTCTTTTTTCTTACTTAATTTAATTAATCCATACTTTTTTAGAAGTGTGGGGCAAAGAGCGACTTCTACTTCTAACTAAAGGCGAACAGCCGGCATTGCAAGCAAATAGAGAGCCTCCGCCCGTTTGAGTCGTTGCGAGCCGGAAAGCGTACCGGCAGTTTGAGTCGCAAAAGGGCCGCTTGCTTAATTATATTATTATAATTAATAATAGATATATAATTATATATATATAATAATATAATCCATTTTTTTATCTAATTCTTCATTCCTGAGAAGAGGAAGAAGCAGATAGAGCAAAGGCCTCCCCTTGCCTTCCGTCCGCTCTTCCCGAAGTGAGCGAATTGCATGTAGAGATCCGTAGGGGCTTATAGTTTAATTGGTTGAAACGTACCGCTCATAACGGTTATATTGTAGGTTCGAGCCCTACTAAGCCTACCACATCATGATTGGATAACCACGCACAGAAGATGATTTCGGGGGAACGGGAGTGCCTTCTTTTATCGTCTTTATGGTTGGTGATATTCATTCTTTCTCTCTCGACTCATAGCATTCAGTATTCAAGTGCGTCTTTCTAGTTGTCGAGTATCTCGTTCAATCGCTTGAATAGGTCCAACCGGGAATCTTGAATCTCTAACGATCGCATCTTTCTGTCTGATCGGAGGTGGCTAAGGTGGATTCATCATGGAAGTCTACGGTTTCTGCGGTCAGCTCGCCCATTCACCTGAAAAGACTGAACTTGCTGCTTTCTTACTTGATGGCATTCCCCGGACTTCCTTTACCGGAAGGCGTGCACTTAACTGAAGTAATGGATGGCAGTGGAACTCATTGCCTCTGTCCCTGTTTTCCCGTTCTGCTTGCTCCTCTAGCTCATCAATGCCGGAAGTCGAGCTGCTATCGATCCTGGAATCAAAGACAGGTTGGGACAACTCCATTCCCATCTCGTATATCACAGACTTTCGTTCTTGCTTTCTTTCGTTTGGGCTTCCTCCTCTTTCTCACCTGTCTGCTGCTCTGCTATAAGCCGAAACAGGGCCAGCGCTGGAAGAAGACTTGCCCGAGGAGATAGTGGAGTGGCTCTCGTTCCTTCACCTATGCCCCAGTTTCCTCTGGTCGACTAAAGCTCACTGCTAATGGAAGGGCGCGGCTGGCCGATTCCCTCTAGTGGGTTAACTCATTCACCACCAAGAGAAGAGAAAGTCAAGGGATTGGAGAATCTATAGTTTATGCTTCCCCTGTTCATGAATCGGGTCCGTTCCCGAATCTACTTTTAGACCTCAATTGAATGACGAAAGCGAAGGGCGCCTCTAAGAGATCAAAATCAATCTCTTCAAATATCATAGATCAAGAAAGGGCTTTTTCTCAGGCTGACTTTCTGACTTGAAGTCTTTCCGTTCCCGATTCAATTACAGCTGTTCTCGCTAAAGCCGGATCTGATCCCGCTTGAGAAAAAAATCCTGATCTTCCAATTGCGTCAATAAGAGAGATGCCTGAATCGGACATATGAGATGAGCCCGTAACCCGTCGCTTTTTTCGTGAAGACCAGATGCGCTCTTAGCTTCATTTCAAGATGCCAAATCTTTCTCAACTTTCATTGGCGGGGCTCTTCATCTATCAATCGAAGGTGAGAGTTGGCTTCATTGCTTGGTTTTTGAAGACGGGAGAGATCTCAGATCAGGTTCAACCTAAAGTGAGTCATCATAGGTAGGGTTCCGCTCCTTGCTTTGAGGAACGGACAGACCAGACAGTCGTGATTGTCTTTCTTTCTTTCTCTTTCTTGCCTGAGACCGGGCTTCAAAGTCAGAGCCTATCCTCCTTCACCTCTTTCATGAATTGGAGGGCCTAGTCCGTCCAGGGATCAGATTCGAAAGTGATTCCAGAAGTGTGAAATATTAGAACTGCTCACCTCACAGTCCTAAGTGGTGACTCGCTCAACGATTCTAACCTAACTAGGCACAGAGTCTCGGCTGCTTTTCCGAAACCGACCCCTTACTTGCTTCAAAGCCGGAAGAGGGGCAGCAGTTGACTGAAACCTCTCCTCTGGCCGGGAAGTAAGTGCGACGGGACCCACTCTCGCCGTTACTTCTATTTCTTCTTTTAAGAATCAATCTGTAGGTGGGCCTAAACTCGACTGATTCCAGGTTCAATCGGTGTTGGATCTGTTCTCAGCTGGGGAGTCAACTCGCCCCGGACGCTGGGAGAGGGCCCGATCTGAAGTCCGATAGGATGCATAAATGAACCGGCGCTGTCAAGATTCCAAGCAGTGTCAGTCGCCGAAGTGACTGGGTCCATAGGAGCTTAGCTGACACAGCCGTCGGATTGGTATCCCTCCCAACCCATCGGATCATTCACCTCTTTGACTGACTTTCAGTCCTTTTTCCGACGGACGAGTCTACCTTGACCGCACCCAAAACTTGCCTTGTCCCCTATTCCTACTCCCTTGTCTTCAACCCTTTCCCCAGCTCAGTGAGACACCGACCAAATGGGCCAGGAGGGAGGAGATACGAATCGAAAAGAATGGAACAAATGCGGTCGATAAGAAGCTCCAGAGCCCTACTTCTTGCTCCCCTTCGGCCGGTGACGGAACGGAATGAAAACAGAGTGAATGACAAGCTCTAGAGAAGGATGCGGACCTTAGTTACCGATGGCTGTGGATCGAGACCAAATTCGTATTCCCGAGGCATAGCAGGCGGCAAGTATAAGATTTTCCATCCGCTTATCATATTTTCACAGCTCTAGAGCTTGGTGAAGGGGGTGCAGCCCGAGTGGCTAGCCGGCCAAGCGAAAGAAATGTACAGGAGCGATAGACACTTAGCCGCTGTTTCGGTTCTTAGTATCAGAGCAAACTCCTCTGGATCGTTCCGGTACCGGTGCTCTTCGTGTTGAGGCGCACTGATGAGACAGTAACCCCTGACTGAGTTAGGAGTGAGCCTTAGTGCGCGTTTAGAGTTCTATGGTAAGTTTTATCTGAGTTGAGTGAAGCGGTTATCGGCTTTACGAGCACCACGTTAAGGCCTAGTTTTGTAGCCAAGTCAGTAGCCTTTCCTTCTGATCTGATCCTCGTTTTCAGTAGGGTCAGGATCGGTAGAAGAGAAAGAGGCCAGTCCTGCTTGACTTTGACTCTTTCCTTGCTTGGGTGGTCTCGTATTATAGACTTGAAGCCAAAAAGATGGGGTTGGATAAAAGGAGATCTTTTTTTCGATGCTCTACGAAGGCAAATTTGAGGTAGGCCAATTATCCCGAGGGGGATAACTTTCCATATGACTATTTAAATAAGGAGTCAGTCTAGTCGGTCATGAACGGCTTTCCTTCCTTCCCCCAGGATCTGTAACTTCTTCCTCTAGAAATAACATATTAACAGCCCCTAGTGAGAGTTTTCACTCCCCTTCCTCTTCTATGAGTGGCTGAGGCCAAGACATCTTCAATCTCTTCCCC